AGTTTGTATATTATTTAAGTATTTTGTAAGTCTTTCTTTAAATATTAGCTGCACTTCAAATAATTTTCATGTAATGTCTGATCATTTTCAGCATAATTAACAATCTGATGCAGACTTTGTAAAAGATCCATTGATGGAAAGCTCCTTTATGTAAGACCTTGATTGTAACAGCCAATGAAATGACGCGTTTTTCATTAGGTAAGCGCGTCGCTGTACGTGCAAACGTAAGTGAGAAGCTAGCGCGCCAAATTGATGATACAAGAGAAGGGAGCGCAGAAAACATCACTGATTTGTTTTTATGTTGTTATTGAACCAACCTGTTAAAGCCTTGTAGACGCACAGGAGTAAACTCTTCGTAGGTCAGATTTTGTCCTAACGTATTTCCGGGTCACAGCAGCTCGCTCTTAAACGATTATGGGATTGCTTGAGCGGTGCAAGGAGCTATTCAACACCTCCAGCTTGTACGAGGTGCTGGGAATAAACAAAGAGGCGACCGAAGCAGACATCCGGAGGAGCTACTACAAAGTGTCGCTGAAAGTACACCCAGACCGGGCTCCTGATGACGCACAGGCGACGGAGAAATTTCAGGTTAGCTGTTAGCTGTCAGACTATTCGCTATCGTAGCTAGCTTTAGCTGTAGAAGCARCGAGTCATTATTTCACTGCGTATTGTGTGTATTTTCTTGCAAAAACAAAAGTATCCTGACACCTGCTTTTTACAACACGTTAAAATATAATTTTCTATACAGACATTTGGGCCGAAGTTTCTAACTGAAAATTAGGTTTTGAATATTAAGCCTGGTCAGATAAACACAACAAAAAACAGACTGGGATTTTACTAACGTGGCGGACTTCCGGTAGCTTCACAAAACGGTATAATGGGAACCTTTATGTGCTGATGCCACCATAAAAAATTWAAGGGGTAGAGCAGCACACAGTTAATTAACATTTGATTATATTACATAAGGGCATTTAATCCAATGTTTRAAATGTCATTCCAGGTGCTGGGAAAGTTGTATGCAGTACTGAGTGACAAGGAGCAGAGGGCTGTTTATGATGAGCAGGGAGTGGTGGACGAAGAGTCTGATGTTCTCAGCCAGGACCGCTGCTGGGAGGAGTACTGGAGACTGCTCTTCCCCAAGGTAATGGACACTCACTGAAGGGTCAAACGCCAAAACCGTGGATTCACACGCACAACTTTACCTACACACGGACTTGAAGGATGCGTGTGTCGTTCTTCTTCCACACAAGCACACGCTCTTGGAGCGACAAAACTCTGCTGACACTTTCTTTTGTCTTTCCCCCTTTTTCCTCCCAGATCACAGTGCAGGACATTCTTGAATTTGAGAATACATATAAAGGGTCYGACGAGGAGCGGCAGGATGTGATCCGGCTTTACGTGCAGCACGAGGGGGACATGGACGCCATCGCGGCCTCGGCCCTCTGCTGCTCTCAGGAAGACGAGCCCAGGCTGTGCAGCATCATCCAGGCTGCGATCAAGAGCGGGGAAGTGGAAGCCTTCAAAGCTTTTACTCAGGAGAGCGACAAGAAGAAGAAGGCTCGGAGGAAGAGGGTGAGATTTGTTATTAAAACCAAACGATTCTTACTTTTTTTTTGTTTTTTGGTCTCACGATGATGTCATATCTATATTTCACTGAAACAACATGATACTTACTAAACTATAACTACATTTTTTACTTTATATTTGCTCCTCCAGGCTGATCGAGAGCGACAGGAAGCAGAGGAAATGCAGAAAGAGATGGGGCTTGGCGATAAAGATGATAGTCTTGTTATGATGCTCAAGGTAATACCCCCAAATATAAAAAATGCTAAACGTTCTTCCTCATTCTAACCTGCATTTCTCCTCCGCTTTGCAGCAAAGACAGCAGTCCAGAGAGAAGAATTTTAACAGTTTCCTGTCAGATCTGGAAGCCAAATACTCCCAAAAAAGTGCCAAACCCCCAAAGGGAAAAAAGACAAAGAAGTAAATGTCAACAAAATCCCTTTTTATAATAAATATTCTGACTTCAGTACAAACAAAAGCTTAACTGCTGTTTTCAGAAATTCTCGACATAAAATCGTCCATCAGTCTTGTTGGCTTCAAGTTTGACACAAAAAAAATGTAAATCTCCTTATTTTTTCTGTAATATGTTGTAAAGGTTTTTGTTATTAATAAATGCATGTGTATATATCACATTTGTACACAGCCTTTTTATTATTCCATATAAAACAAAACATTTCAAAGGAAAAAAAAAGGTGCTTAGTTTTCTCCTCTTGCATGGTGCTTATTTTTTAAATTTACGAGGAATAMGTTTTTATGCTGTAACCCTGAGGTTACTTGTCAGTATGACCTCTTGGCTTTGCTCAAAGACAAATAACATTACAATACTTTATACAGATAATAAATTATGCTAATTATTTACAAACACTTATGTACATTGTCTTCTTCCTACATTGTAGGACAAGTCTAGCAGAAGTGTYCAGTCTATACAGACACCACATTGAGTTTAAGTGTGGGGAATATGTCATCCCTCTTGGATCAAGACTCTAGGAAAAAGAAAAGATACAGTACCAAACTCCCTGATGGAACACCAAAGGAAAAAAAAAGTGCTTTTTATCCTGTTAGCCTGGGTAAGTGGTTGCATTTTTCCCTGCATAGTGATTTACCAGCACATCGTGCTGCAGGGAGTACGATACAGCATATTCACTTCTATAGATAGTTTACACATTCTGATCATACACAGTACAAACCTCCACACAACTCATACTGTATACAAAGACAGTTACTGTTCATTATTTGTTTGGCAGCCACATAAGCTGAATTCTGAAATAAAAAAATAGGTTTAAAAAAGCTAAATTTTAAAAATCTGCTACTTTTTGAAAAAAAAAAAACTTTCAGTGGGCACAGATACTGTAGTGACGTGTAAAGATATATAATTGCAAGTTGCAGAGATCCGGAGCAAACTACAAGCCAGGTCTGCTGGCTCTGCTTGAGATCCCTCCTCGAGTGTAGGACCGAGGTGGGACTGACACCGGCGCCACGGGGGCTGTGGAAAAATACCAAGAATATTTAAAGATATCGTTAATAAGAGTCTCAAACTTCTTCTGGTTTGATATAATTTACTAAAACGCCAGCTGCTCCACCTTCCTATGCAGTAACAGGTTATTGATGTATGGTCTTTCATCTGGTCAGTTCTTTAACCCACCTGGGACAGGGGCTTGTGGTTCTGGCTCCTCCTCGTCTTTGATGGGCGAGTGTCCCAGCGGGTGGTGATACGAGTCCAAAAAAGACGAGCTGCTAATGCCAAGACTGATGCCTGTCACGCCGATTTCCAAAGAGTCTGGTGATGCGGGGGGAATAAATTAATGCACAAATCATTAATAGATGGATTTAAAAAATAGATCCTTTAAATGTTTGTCCAGACTTTTTATTGGAACTTTAATTTTGCATAGGAAAAGCACAACAGTCAGTTTGAAACATTGCATGAATCAGTGACGCATATAGATTTACAGTTTTATTTATGTGAGCTAAGGAGTTTAACTGTTTGCAGTGTGGTCAATATTTATTCTGAGGTATTCATCTTTGGTAAAGAGATGCAGCATAAGTTGCAACTTAAGATTAGGACTAATGCTCAGTATGAAAAATAAAAACAACAGGTTAGAAAGAGTGTATCTGAATTCCTGACCTGTGCCCACAGAAGCTCGACCTGGCCGCCCCGGCCCGATGTTGTCCAGAACTGTAAAGGAACTCCGGTATGGAGTGTCTGACTGAAAAAAAAATAAAGCCTGAAGTCAAATATCTTGTTAAATCAAAAGAGGGCAAACATGGTCCTCGAAGGCCACTGCATATTTTACTCGTTTCCCTGCTCCAAAACACCTCATTTTGTGTTTGAATTACCTTCTAAAGTCCTGTTGAAGCTTGGTAATCACCCTTTTATTCAAATCAGGTGTGTTGGAGTGGAGAAACAAGTAAAACATGCAGGTCAGAGGCCCTCAAGGACCCGGATTTGGACACCCATGTGTGAAATCTACCACAACAGAAACCAACCACTTATAAAGGCTAAAAAACTCAACTATCGTAAACATCATACTCTGTATGTGTGAGTTGTGTTGGGACGAGAGAAGACGTCCAGCAGGTGGTGACGATCCCTTGGTATTGAACTACCAGCCTCATTGTTTACAGCACTGTGGGCGCGGCTGGAGTGGCCTTTCTGACGCTGGAGAGACAATAAAAAAAGGCAAGTAGTGCACACAGTTACGCCCAGGATTTTTTGCTTTTGAACACCTAATGGAGTAAATTTAATAAACGCTACACAATGCAGTTGTAAGACCACACTTTGTAGGACTCTTTTGGAGCAGCTTGTTGATTTATAAAACCTGTAGTCAGCTTTGTGCTGCCACAGCATGTGTACCTGTGCAAGTTTGGACTGCTGCCCTGAATGAGATGACTCAGACTCCTCGGGGCCAATGGGGGGCAGAGGGGTGTTTCGGCTCAATGGCAACAGTGGAGACGCCAGTCGGTCACTGGCTGTGGTTCTGTGGGGGAAACAACATTTTGAGAAGAAAAATATAATAGTATAAGAGTACTCGTGGTTATATAAAATTCTCAAGTCAAGAATAAAAACTTTGTTCTTGATCAAGAATTAGGAAGTTTCTTGCTTCACCACAATCTTATTGCTTGTGCTTTTAGTTGTAGTTGACCACTTAGCTATCACCTGGCTTCACATGTTCACTATTTGGTAATGAGACTCAATAAGGCTTTTTTGTACTCGTGAATTTAAACCCCAGACTCCATGATTAAACAAGGTGTTTTAGTAGAATTATTGTTTATTTTTATTAACGGGTCCCCATTAGTCTCTGCCGAGGTAGAGACTACTCTTCCTGGGGCCCAATTTACACTGCGTCCGCTCTGACCTCTACAATAAAATCGTACCCATTACAATCAAAAAGAGCAGGGCGGCGGTGTGTGCATGGCCATCTGCCAAAATTAGATTTGAGCCTATTTTTGCAGGACCACAGAGCAAGATCACACTGCAACCAACAAGAAAAGGAACAAACACAAGGTCTGTATTTTTAAAATATTTCATCAAAGGTGGACTACATCTTGTCAAAAATCCTAGCTAGAACAATAAATATGGGTATACTTACAAAATACATGCTGTAAAAATGTATCACTCTATTTGGGAAGCAGATGGCAACAAGCAGCATAAGCATACATGCAAAACGTGGATTTTATTTCGAAATATGATTAAAAAAACAACAGCGATATAGTGTCAGCTGTTGTTTCCAGTCCGACTCCCACAGAATAAATCGATTTGATCTGACTTCCACATTTATCACTGGATTTCTTGCACAATCTCGCATTTCCTGCACAAGCTTCTTAGAGCAGATCTGCGCTTCGCACCAGAGTGGACTCAGTGTRAATTAGGGTAAAAACGATTAACAGCGAACCGTGCGGCGCAGAGGACCGACTTGACCGGTGCCGCGTGCAGTGTAAATCCAGGGTGATGCTTTAACTCACAGACGTGTCCCACGGATGACCTCATCCAGGTATCCTCTTGTGCTGGACTGGCTCGAGCTTGGAAGCAGGGGCTGTAAGGTTCGAGGGGGAGGGTTTCTGCGTTGGGCCGACTGCTGGGGGCGGGACAACAAGGAAGAGCTCTGCTCCAAAGCTCTGCGAGGACGAGGTTTGCTGGAAGAGACAACACTAGAGCACGGCCTGTGAGACACACGCTCTTCTGGCTCCCTGCGTGGTGAAGAAAAAAAAAATTGCAACATGACGATGATAATGAATTTAACCTCTGATTTTGGGATCAAAGTTTGTGTGTTAGAAGACTGAAATGCATTCGTACCGATTTCTCTGCTGCAGAGGGATGCTGTGAATCACGATGAGGTCATTCAAGCGTTGCTGCGTCGCTGCTGCTCCTACAGGCGCTCGACCAACCTGGGGTCAAGATTTAGGAATAAAAGTTACCAGACAAGCAGAAAAAGAAAATACAAGGTTAGTTATTTCAAATAACCTTAAAAAAATTGTTCACCATGAACTAAAAAAAAAGGCCATGAAAATAATCACAACACCTAACGTGGATAAATGATCTACAAAAAAAAAAAGCATGTAAAAATGAAGTTGCAATTACTTAAAGAAATAAGCAGTGGATATGTTTTAATGTTAATCAACAGGCACAAGCACATTATTCAAGAGACAGATATAACGAGCGGCTACGGTCGGAGAGCTGGCAACATGCCACCGTTTTGGCTTTATAGAGATGGAAAGTTACATACAGCGGAAGGCCTTTTCTGCTTTTTGGATTTCCACCTGGACTTGTGCTTTGAGTTCCTTGAGTTTGTGTTCTTTAAGGATGACCAACAAAAGGTAGTGGAGGAAGGGGGGGAGAAATAGAAGAAAAGATGGTGAAAAAATAGTTAAACAAATAAAGATTTTAAAATAAAGTACAAAAATATACAAAAACAGGAAGGTTCAAAAACACCTCGGTGAAAAATGGGAGAACAGGGTAACAAGTTAATGAACCCGAGGAACAGGGAGAATGAAAAGCAACAGATGGAACTGAAAACAGGTGACAGGTGACATTTCACAAAGCTTACGTGCTTAATAACAGCTTCAATTACATGTCACAATCAAATTTGGTTAAATGCAGCAATTTAAGAATAGCATTCACTATTATAAGTAACATTTAAAGTGCCTGTGACATGCATATTCTTTAAATGCAAAAAGTCAAAGAAACATCTTTATATTTCAAAAAATTGGCACATTGCACATGATTTTATCCACTTTGTCACATAACTGGCACATTTTCTTTTGAATTTGGCTCAGCCAATGTGAAACAGGAAGTGACATCATAGGGGAACTCTTATAGAAAGGGAACTCAATGGACTCTTTTTCATTTCTCTCTGATAGTGACTTGAAATAATCTAAAAAAACCATCAGATTCTTCTCTAGTCTATTATCAGCCATTATAGCAACTCCCTGTTTACATGCAGATATTCCCCCTTTGACATCACTTCCTGTTACTTCACATCTGAATATCTCAACAACGGTTCATCTCAGCAGCATGATTTTTTTGCAACAAGTTATCAAAGCTATCTTTCCAAAAATCAATTCATATTTATTACAAAAATTGATGTGACAGGCATAAAATAGAATACAGTTTGAGTTTTGAATTAATTTTCTGCTCTGCTAAAATGGACAAAAGTAACAAATCTGTCTGTTTATTTTTCTATGTACAGTACATCCTCGAGATTAGATCATCTTCCTCCACAGAACACTGACCTGGATTTGCTGGCCAGCTGCGAGTGGTGGCACCCGGTTCTGGCCGAGTTTTGGAAGCATTGTGGGCAGCGTGGAGAGCAGCATAAAAGGATTCTGGGAGTCTGGCAGCACAGGACTCAAGCTCTCAGAAACGGTTTCATCATCTGTCAAACACAATCCCAGTTATGTCAAAAACTTTTAATTTTTAATGGATGCGAGGTCGGGATGTTTAGAATTACTGGAGGTGCAGCACTCCCAGTGGCGTTGAACCAACTCCTTCATCCAGCCAACCAGCTCCCGCCACACGTCATCAAACAGCAAGTCCAGAACGGCTTGACGGCGACACCGGTACGGCGAGACAGGAGGCAGACGGTGGTACCGTCGAACCGACTCCGAACAGTCCTCGTAACACTCGTCATCTCTGTGGAAGAAAAGACACTCTTAATTGTGCTTTTCTAATATTTACAATCTAGATTTTTCTGGTTTTCTATATAACAACACTTAAAAGTGAGTACCTGCTATCAAAAGCCAGGTACTCTTCCATTAGGCCCTCTGCTTCAATCACTCTGGGTTTGTCATGGCTGCCAGAGCCACCAATGTTGTTAGGAGGACCGTTCACCTCTGGGGACGAGGACTTGATCAGCGCAGCTTTTCTGCCCTGAACATTTAACCTTTTCCCCCACAAACAGAACATGGTTGATTACAATACTTTGTAAAATAAAATTACACGAACATAGATATCAAACATTGCAAACTTAGTTCTTGACACAGCTTCAAAGCAGAGGAAAGAAATCCTCAATAAGGACAAGCATGTCTAATTTTATCCTGTCACGCTGACCCAGTTTTAAGGTGAACTAGTCAGACGGTGTCACAGCCTAGTTTGAGCCCATCTACAATGTCATCTGTATATCTCAGATATCCARCATCACTTTGGACCTAATACTTAATTAACAAGACAGAGTATCTAGGTCAAAGAAGAAAAGTCAACTGAGACTCCTCTGTACCTACAATCATGTGTAAAACTGGCCAATGGCTTCTTGATATTTTTTTATTAGATTATCAGTCTCAAACAGAAGAAAACCTTTAGTTTTTCTGAATTATTTTAATCCCAGATGAGTTCACTAATTGTTTTAAACTCCAGTGTAGAATGAAATGAATACCAGGAATCTTTCTATCAATCAGAGAACTAGTGACTCCGTGTAGTTCGGACTTACTCTGCGCCACCTTTATCTTTCTCCTGGGACTTCACAGTACTTTGTCTTCCTGCTGATGGGCTGCTGGCGGGGCTGTTTGTCCCTGGAGTAGCATACCACTGGAAGCCCTCATCAGTGGGACACAGAAGCTGAGTCCCTAGGATCCTGAGAGATACGCAAATTAATGAAAAATAAAAATAAAAAATGACATTAAGGTTGTTTTCCTCAAAAGAGTGAACTTCATTGCAAATTTCCCTAGAATCAGCGTTAATCCCCGATCCCGCCACGCCGCAGTCTCGTTCGGCGCTAAAAGGGTTAAGGGTTGGAGGGAAACAAAATGACAATGCACCGGATATGTGGGAAGCGTGTGGTCCACTGCTGACATTCATCCTGCAGCCCCTGGAGGATCCCTCCTCCTCCACCGCCTCCCCCCTCGTACAGCTCTTTGTCGATCTCGTCAAACATTTGCTGCACCTGCCGTGACGCTGCCTCGTCAAACTCCTGTGGGACAGAAAAACAGAGAGATAGAGAGAAACACAGTTGTTGGAAGTCCATCTGTTCTCAAACACCAGCTCCATGCTGCTGCTGCTTTTTTTTTATCTAGTTTTTCATCTTTGGGCATTTTTATTTTATTTTTTGTCAGTAAGCTTCACTATGTACACAAATGAGCTCCTATGGACCCCTGGGATGTATGTTTGTGTTTTTTTTTTAGTTGGACTGTTTAGATAGAAACAAGAAAACTTAGACAAAAAAAACCTGAGGTAGGAGAAAGTTAGGTTGAAAAACTCAGAAGTACACTGAGGATTAAATATTCCACTGGCAAAATCTTGTATATAGAGTACATGCATTCTCACAACTGCTCACAACCAGGTGTTCAGATCCAGGGGGTTCTGACTGGTCACTGAGTGTGTATATCTAAAGTATGTATGAATGTATGTATGAATGTATGTATGTATGTATGTATAGGTGTGTGTGTGTGTGTGTGTGTGTGTGTGTGTGTGTGTGTGTGTGTGTGAGCAGTATGGGTACATTTATTAACCATTTCCCCGGTACACACAGCCAGGTGAGGTTAGGGTTTGGGTCAGGTGTGTAGTCTACCTGGGAGGTTATGGTTGGCTATAGAATTAAAAAGGAAATGAATGGAAGCCAATGCAAAGTCCCCATGAGGATAGAAAAACAAACATGTGTGTGCGGGAGGTGTTGAGCGGAGCCAGCGAGCAGAGC